TGACAAAAAAGAACCATAGTAAGTTCATTTTCAATTTGTGAGAACTCCGGGCACTCGTGAACAAGTTTGTGCATAAAGCTTAATTCAATAAAAGGTCCTTTTTTTTATAAAATTGTTTAAAGCAAAATTACAATACGTATTAAAAATGTCTGTGTGTTGTACAAATTTTGAACTTTTTTTGGTAAAAAAGTTATTTACACTATAAATCCGATAATTTCGACAAATGGGAATGAGTCACCAACTTTTTTTCAAACAATAAAGAATGAGAATTTGACCAAATTTAATAGGTACGTACGTAAATCAATTCTTCGTAAGACTCGAATTTATTTAACTAAATTTATTGTCAACCAAAATTTTTGGTGCGACCCCAAATTTTTGTTAACTATTAATGTTAACGTTAAGTGATTACATATTTTAACAAATTAGTTTCATTCATTAAGAAATTACGATTACTACGTAAATGAAATACATTAATTAAGATTCAGAATAATAATAATAATTTTTAAATATTTTTATTTATATATTAATTTTACTTTTTTTTTTTACAATATCTTTTTTTTAATACCTTTTTTAAAACCTTTTTGCTTTTTTTTGTTTTTTTTTTTTTTTACCAAAAATCTATATACACCGTTTCTCTAAACACTATTTAATTACAAATTGTTTTTTTTTTTTTTTTTAACCATTTACATTATAAACCACCTAAGAAATAATTAAGAATAATCAGAAAAAAAAAAAAAGAGAAAAAATTCGGCTTTTCATTTAAATAAAATTAATTAACAAATACCGGTGTAAGTAAAGTAATGTTCATCCCAACTGTTGATTCAAGTCTCGATTCTTGAATACGGGACCGTGCATTTAAAAGAGGTCCGTGAATAATTGTAACATATTTTAATCTCCTATGCTTTTCTAATTGTTTTATGTGTGAAGGCGAGAATTTCACTGATGTAGATATTTGTAATTCTTCAAGATTTTTAAATTTCTGAATTGCCTTAATAAGTTGCTAAATTATATATATATATATATATATAAACAAAATTAGTTAAAAATATATAAAACAATATATAATATAAAAAATGTATAAAATAATATATATAAAACAATTTAAAAATAATAATAAAATAATATACAAAATAATAAATAAGATAATATATAAAATAATAGATAAAACATACATTTGGATCTTTTTCTTGAATACAACATTTGAGCACCAAAGTTCTTATTTGAGGACATCGTATAGCAAGTCTTTCTAAAACAGTGACATCAGCCTTATATTTTGATCTTTTATCCACATCTTTAGCGCTAACATCATAAGCTTTCAAAACTTTTAATGTTCCTTTATTTCTAGTAGCCAAAGTATGAACAATAGATGCCAACATTTGACAAGAATCATGCCTTACGGTAACTTCAACAAGACCTTTACATTCTCTAGCAATGTTATTGAAAGCAACATTAGTCAATCTTGCACAAGATATGATGACAATAGATTTTAATTCAGTACAATGAGTAGCTATTTGATTTATTCCAGTATCGGTAATATAAGCATTATAAGCTAACATTAAATGTTTAAGATTTTTTCCACGATATTGAGCTATTGTTGAAATTGCCACATCGGTTAAATAAAAACACATGAATAATTCTATAGATTCCAAATGATGACAATTCATTGCAATCATCTTGATAGTTTTATCAGTTATATGTAAAGTGGCTAAATATAATTGTCTAAGACAAGGTTGATGTTGAGAAAAAGCAACAGAGAAAAGAGGATTATGATCTTGAACATGAATAGCTCTTATCCTGAGAGCTTCCAATTTAGCGAATTTAGGAGCCAAAGATTCAGAAACTTGAATATCATTTTCGAATTGAGCACTTAAAGATTTTAAATTATGTAAACCAGTGATGAGACCTTGTAATCCAGCTTCATTAATATATTTACATTCGAAAGTTTGAAGATTTGGGAAAGAGTTAACGATCAACTTTGCTAATTGTAAAGAGTTTACACGTTGATATAATTTCAAGGAGATAATAGAAGGACAACTTTCACCAATATCTTTCAAAACATTAAAAGACCAAGACCTATTACAGTCATTTATCTCTAAATGCTGTAATTTAGGGCATCGACCTTGGCGTAATGGCGTAAGCGCACCTTCTAACCATTGACTATCACAATCAAGTACAGAAAAAGTGAGTAGGTTAGGAGCAGAATTTAAAAGAAGTTCTACATTAGAATGGGAGAAAGGTGGACCCGTGGTTGCAAAGGTAAGATGCCTCAAATTAGGACACTTTCGAGAAATTACTCTAAGATCATTAGCGGTAAAAGCAGAAGTGGTATCATAAGACCTATAAATTT